TATATATATATATATATATGCCTTTTTTTTTAATTTAATCTCATTAAAAATTGCCTTTCCATTTAAAACTGTAGCCCCTGTAATTCTACATCAGTCAAAAAATTTCAATGCAATATGGCGACTTGGAGGCATTCCGTACACAGTTGGTGTACAGAACTCGGACATATTTCCTGCTTCTGTGATTGGCTGACTTATTTTCCCAGAAGTCTGCACTAAGATACAAGTATAATTTTTGGCAATCTTGCAATAGGATTTTAATTTTTGGCGAGATGCTCCCTGAGGGCCTGTTCACATGAGTTTCAGGTCCTGATCAGGTGCGGATCTGCAGACGCGGTGCTATGTGTTTTTGCCGCGTTTTTGATGCGTTCCAGCTTTTTTGCTGGAGTGGGGCTGTCAGTATGTTAGCTGCAGTGTGTTTGACGCATTTTGCATTTCCAGACCGTACAAAATGTGACATGCAGTATTTTTCTGTCGCAACCTTAACGGACTGCGCACGTGAGAACTGTAGCCCATAAAACACATAGGGATACATTGGGATGCATTTTTAGTGCAGGAGCGTACGGATCAGGTCAGCACAGAAAATGGACGTCGTGCGAAAAGGCCCTAAGGGATAAATTACTACTAAGTAGATGCAGACACTGCACCTTTCCTCATTACAACACAGAACGTCCACCAGCTGATTATAAATGAACCCGGACCCTCCCATTCGGGAATCTGTTTGGAAAAGGCATGCCGCCAAAAAATAGATTTTTCTTCAGAACAGAAACCGGTAGGAAACTGCAACAACGTTTAGTAAACTGAAACAAAGTTGGTTACAATCTCTGCAATGCACACTGATCACCCAGAGGGGATTGATTTTTTTTTTTTCAACAAAAGTAGAATTACTTAAACATTGCATTGAAAAAGTTTGTATATGGCTTTTTTTTTACTACACACTGGTGTCTGGCTCTATGCTCTGACTGTTCTCATTAATGAAGCGGGAACAACTCAACTTGGCTTTCTGCAACATGAACAGGACCTGGTAGTTACAGTTTCTCTGAAACTGTATCAACAGCTCTGTATACATAATGGCACATGCCCTAACACTTTGGGTTTTAAATTTTTATTAAAATAGGGGAAAAAAGGAAAATAACATTGTTAAAAGCCTATGAAAAAAAACACCAAAATTGCCATAAAAGTGCAAAGCCCAATAGTCAACATTTCAAAAACAAACACAGCAACGGGGAGGGGGGTCGAGGAAGAAAGGTTTCAATGTTATGTCTTGTTTTTATGTTATAAGGCAGTAAACATGTAGAGGGAATGATATGACTGGGACAATATATAATACATGTACTATGTTAAGTATATGAACTGTTTTTGTTGATTTTTGAAATTCGAAAAATCAATAAAATAAATATTTTGGAAAAATACATACAGCAACAGCCATTGAAAAAGTAAGTATAGAAACAAAACAAAAGTACAACCTACAGTACATGCTCAAAATATAACCTTACTTTCGGTTTAAAAAAAAAAAAAATCTTACTTCTAAAGATGCTGTAAAGTTAACAAGTACACCAAGATAAGGCATAACAGACACCCTGCTATACCTCATTATGAGCAGCACTCTATAAAATTAAATAAAAATCAGCTTGCAATAGAAAATGCCCCTTTAATCCTCTACTTTGGCACTTACAACAATTCCAAATGAAGCAAGTAGGCGAAATGCCTGCAGAGAGCTCAAGGTCAAGCAAAAATATATATAAAAACATGCGTGTTAAATTTGCAGAAAGAAGCCATATATTTACGTGGGCTCTTTATTTCTAGCCAGCTGGGCCCTTTTATCTTCCGGCTAAGCAAGAAAAGCTCCAAGCTTGAAGTATTTGTTCCAAAGACATGTGAAAATGTTTCTCCTTTTAGGTCTTGAGGAAGTTGGGGCAAGTCTGCCTGCAAGGCAAAACATATCATAAAATAAATTTAGTCAAAAGGAAACAATTAGCCTGGAAATTGTATGTCCAACAATCACAGGCAATTTCTATTTTTCTTCTCAGCTAGCAGCTCACTCGCCCCCTGCCTGGAGTAGTTACTTTCAAGAGCTATAAAATTAGGTGTGGTAATTTGTGTCAGGATAAACTTCATAAAGAATAATAATTGTTAATCTCCTTAAAAATAAGATTAGTGCAAAGTTAAAATGGAAAAATATTAAGAAATCAGTAAGAAATTTGTGATTTAATGTGGAGTCTAGATACCACAATGCTGCCACCTTTCAGCTCAGGGATAGTCTGCACTGCTTATTTCTGCATTTAAACATATTCACAGACAACAAATGATTAATAGAATATAACTGCTAAAACGTGGAGGTTTGCTCAAATCTGACAACAGAAAAGACTAGGGAAACCAGAGATGGGCAAAAATTCACTGCCGGACATTTCCAACTCATTATCTTACTGCAAGTTCAGAAACAAATCTAGGACCATGATCAAACACTATGGTGCATATTTATGAACAAAAGCTGAATTGAAGCACAGTCGGGGGCCTGGATTACACTCTATAACTAGCCATTCATCCCCACTATTCGCAGATGTTAGAATATCACATGGTGGCAGGTGCAGGGGGAATCAATAAGTGCCCATGAAGGTAATAATGGGCATATTACAAATGTGGCCAATGCCACAGTTGTGCATTCACCGTTGGAGAATGGAAAATCCAGATGTTGGTCAAACGGAACTTGCAGACGTTTACGAAAGAAAGCAGCATATAGTTAATTTGCCATTTAAGATATCTACCCTTATGCTCTGCATGTAATTAGCAAAAGTGTGATGAAAATGTGTAAAATCTGAGCCTGCACTTCGTGTCGGTCAGCAGCTTGGCGTATGCCTTTAGCTACAGAGACCGTTCTTCTATAATAGGTTCCAATTTGTACCAGCATCTAGAGAAACATTAACGTGGTAATAAGTGGTGATGATCAATTATCTGTGAATGTGAATAATGACAATGACATTACATCGGACATCTCAGCGAAACATTGTACCACATTTACTTGTGTGCATGTAAATAGAGAACTATAGAAGTGAAATATCACCTAGACCCTGCTTGTAAGAACCTGGTTCTCATTCTTAATACGATAAAAGGAGTAAAGTAAAAGTTTAGCAGGATAGGTATCACTCAGCAGTGTATATGCTTCTGAAATACAGCATGGAACATTGCTACTGTATGTTTGGCAGTACTACTTACAGAATATCGAACCTCTAGGTACTCGGAGCTAGCTGGCACATCTGGAATCTCAAATGCATAATTCTTTTCCACTTTCTAAAATTAAGAGACAAAATGAACCAGTAATTCTACATATAAAAAGCACTAGCTGTTAATAATGAACTTGACTCTAGACTGGGCAATAAGATTTAGTTTTGTTTTCCATCATCACATAACACTGTGTTAACTTTACAAAAGGAGATGGCTCAGGGATCAACCGTGCTTGTATGTGTGCAACTTACAGCAGTCCCTAACAGTTTATAATGCGATAGTTTGCAATCTTCCACCCTATATAAAAGCAGGAAAATAAAGGGCTTTGCATGAAATCAATAGATAAACTCTGCTTTTAAGTGGGCCTCTGTATCTATGGGCATTGTGGGGAACGCCATTTTCAAAGTTCAAGACACAGGCACTGAAACTTTTATATGAAAACGGAATCTTGGCAGCTTGCAGCCCTTTAATTTAAACAAACTGCAGGTCTTTCTAAGCTGCTAGCTACCAAAAATTAACTGCAGAGTTTATGTTGTGATCTTCCATGATCTTTGGGAAAAATAACTGCACATTAAATGCAGAGGTTCACTTTAAAGATGAACGTCCTTCTGCCTTATTTTTTGGACACAGCTTCCATGAATGAGTCACCAGCATTGCCTGTGGTCTCCTTGCATCAGATGTTTCCCTATTACTGATCTAAAGTGCTTTGTTCTGCAAGGTCTTTGTGTGGAGGCAGCCATCTTAGCAGAGACAGGACCTTCTGCTTCTTCATGTCAAGTCTCGAGTAGTGATGCACCGATACCGTTTTTTTGTATCAGTACTGATATTTTTTTTCCCGGTACTCGCCGATACCGATGCCGTGTGCCCCAATTATCAGAAATCGGGCGGCGGATCATGACCCTTCTATCGAAAGAACACCGGCTTCAACTTGCCGAGGCTGCCTGACCAATCAGGAAACCAGGCAGTGGGTCATGAGGTGCTGTCCAGCTTCCTGATTAGTCAAGAAGCCAGGCTGCCTAGTAACAAATGAAGCTGGCTTCCTAGCCAATAAGGACGCCGGGTGGCATGTCATGAGCCGCCTCCCAGCCTCCTGATTGGCTAGGAAGCCGGCTTCACTTGTTCCTAGGCAGCCTGGCTTCCTGAACCAATCAGGAAGCGGGTCATTACATGCTGCCCGGCTTCCTGATTGGTTAGAAAGCCAGACTGCCTAGCAACAAGTGCAGCTGGCTTCCTGGCCAATCAGGAAGGCAGGTCATAAACTGCCGCCAGGCTTTCTGATTGGAAAGGAAGACGGCTCCATGCTCCCTCGGTACTGCCGGTCAGAGGGAGATCTAAAAGATCTCCCTCTGAACAGAAGTTCCGGTATAAGAGCACTTTGGCGCGAACGAGCTCAAATACTCAAGATCGGCACAGATACTAGTAACGGTGCATTCCTAGTCACCGGCACGATCAACAGTGAGCAGCAGTGTAGTGGCATTACCAAATCTCACTCCAGATCTCCCGAGACTAGCAGAAAGAGGGAGCAATGCGTACACTGCAGATACACAGACATGAGGCTGTAGGTGAGGATGAGTCAAGCCTGTGGCTGTGAGAATCTTGCAATGCCTCATAGGATTTGTTGTTTCACCACAGCTGGAGGGCCGGAGGTTCCCCACTCCTGCACTTTAGGAATAACAATTGAATAAAGCCATAATTTTTTTTTTAATGTACAACAACCATGTAAGGTTAATGGCGATAATTCTCTGTATTTTCACTAAGCTTATTGATTCATTGTACCCTATACGGAACTAAGACAAGTGAACAGCATAAAATACCCAAAACCACAAACCTTAGATTTGAATTTCATTATCTTATATTTTTCTGCAATGTGATCATTGAATTCTTGGTAAACATTCATCATGGTCACTGGAACACCAGTATCTTGTCCTGATTGTAACTGGATTCTCTGGGGGTGGGGAAAAAAAATATATGTATGAACAACAACCACATACATTAGTATATATCTACATATTTATTAGATTTGGACTGAATACAATTTTCTCTTCTCACATTCAAGTCTAGTACAGCAAGCCAAACACAGGAAACACATTTTAAGATCTTAACTAGCTGGTATAGGTGTCCAGCAGTAATACACAAGATGTTCCCATTGCATTCTAGTAGCTGCTGGGAGATGTGGAAATTGAGTGGGAACCATGCTTCACATTTGGTGGTCCTGTCCCCTTATTTGCCCCTATTGCCATACTTTTTGATTGTGCAGCCAAATGACAGGTACGGATTGCAAGGAATAACCATAAGCCTTGCTGTCTATTCTTCTTGTTTACGTTTAAGGCAACCAAAGGGAGGTCTCCTCTGCTTTCTTTTATGCAGTGGTTGCCCAAATCCCTAAATATTTAAAGTCTTCCACATTCCCATGGATTAGGGTGTGAGTATGTAGACTTCATCGCATTATGGGGATAGAGAAATTGACCGCTGAGATTGTCTGGGTTCTTCCTTTTTTCCCTTGGCCTTGTCCCCTCTGAGTGAGCAGGGGATGGGGGCAATCAATAACCAAAATTTTGCTTATGCAGGTATAAAAAGTCTAAATGTTTTGACTAAATTCCAAACATGCTGTGCTCTGCTCTTTGCATTAGTGGTTATTAATGCTGTGACCCATGCTTATGCTCGAGTTGGAACCACTTCTTGCCCTGAAAAAAATTCCAATATAGAGAGAACACACACAACACACACACCTTAAACTAAAAATACTGTGGGCGAATCACTATATGCTCTATAATTGTAATACAAAAATTAGGAACCATCACACAAACTGGGACACCACCCCTATATATGCAATATATATAAAAAAAAGGGGGGGGAAAGAGAAAGGGGCTTTTTGGTGACCACTGGAGAATAGCAGGGAGGTTCTGAGAGAAGGAATTGCCCCTGACAGTCCGAGGAGCTTCACCAGTACAAGGTACGATTGGGACGGATGCTTGGCTTCCTTGCTTTCGGACTGGCTCCCCCCGGCGCTCCCGTCTCCTGGTTGGGTGGGGAGACTCCCTGCAGATGGATATTCAATTACCGGAAAAAGAATAATTAAGTTAACCTCTCCAAATCTTCCTGACGAAGCCTCGGCGAAACGCGTTGAAGACTGGAGCAAGCACAGAATCATGGCTGAACTAATGATATATAGAACAATTATGTACAATTAATCATGCAAATAAGATATGAATACAATGAGGGCAATGACCAATATATGAATATTTATGGTTTTTTATATGGATGAATTTTAGCAGATTTATATGTATAGACATTATGAATTGAGTACATTAAAAATTGAATTTTATTATATATATGAATCAATTGACTTTATTATTGGATCAATTCCCTGCTATTCTCCAGTGGTCACCACAAAGCCCCTTTCTTTCTCTTTCTCCCTTTTTTTGATATATATGCTCTATAAAATGGAACTCTCCAGAAATGTTTAATGCCAGTATACCTGCATGTGTCCCTGCCCTCTCTTTTTTGTGCTATACCAGCGGAAGATGCGTAGCAATACACCTTGTGAGAGATGATAGGACCTTCTTGCTTGCCACCTTTTGTATGCAGTTCTTTTTGTTATTACAGCTAACCTGATTGGTTAGAAAGCCAGACTGCCTAGCAACAAGTGCAGCTGGCTTCCTGGCCAATCAGGAAGGCAGGTCATAAACTGCCGCCAGGCTTTCTGATTGGAAAGGAAGACGGCTCCATGCTCCCTCGGTACTGCCGGTCAGAGGGAGATCTAAAAGATCTCCCTCTGAACAGAAGTTCCGGTATAAGAGCACTTTGGCGCGAACGAGCTCAAATACTCAAGATCGGCACAGATACTAGTAACGGTGCATTCCTAGTCACCGGCACGATCAACAGTGAGCAGCAGTGTAGTGGCATTACCAAATCTCACTCCAGATCTCCCGAGACTAGCAGAAAGAGGGAGCAATGCGTACACTGCAGATACACAGACATGAGGCTGTAGGTGAGGATGAGTCAAGCCTGTGGCTGTGAGAATCTTGCAATGCCTCATAGGATTTGTTGTTTCACCACAGCTGGAGGGCCGGAGGTTCCCCACTCCTGCACTTTAGGAATAACAATTGAATAAAGCCATAATTTTTTTTTTAATGTACAACAACCATGTAAGGTTAATGGCGATAATTCTCTGTATTTTCACTAAGCTTATTGATTCATTGTACCCTATACGGAACTAAGACAAGTGAACAGCATAAAATACCCAAAACCACAAACCTTAGATTTGAATTTCATTATCTTATATTTTTCTGCAATGTGATCATTGAATTCTTGGTAAACATTCATCATGGTCACTGGAACACCAGTATCTTGTCCTGATTGTAACTGGATTCTCTGGGGGTGGGGAAAAAAAATATATGTATGAACAACAACCACATACATTAGTATATATCTACATATTTATTAGATTTGGACTGAATACAATTTTCTCTTCTCACATTCAAGTCTAGTACAGCAAGCCAAACACAGGAAACACATTTTAAGATCTTAACTAGCTGGTATAGGTGTCCAGCAGTAATACACAAGATGTTCCCATTGCATTCTAGTAGCTGCTGGGAGATGTGGAAATTGAGTGGGAACCATGCTTCACATTTGGTGGTCCTGTCCCCTTATTTGCCCCTATTGCCATACTTTTTGATTGTGCAGCCAAATGACAGGTACGGATTGCAAGGAATAACCATAAGCCTTGCTGTCTATTCTTCTTGTTTACGTTTAAGGCAACCAAAGGGAGGTCTCCTCTGCTTTCTTTTATGCAGTGGTTGCCCAAATCCCTAAATATTTAAAGTCTTCCACATTCCCATGGATTAGGGTGTGAGTATGTAGACTTCATCGCATTATGGGGATAGAGAAATTGACCGCTGAGATTGTCTGGGTTCTTCCTTTTTTCCCTTGGCCTTGTCCCCTCTGAGTGAGCAGGGGATGGGGGCAATCAATAACCAAAATTTTGCTTATGCAGGTATAAAAAGTCTAAATGTTTTGACTAAATTCCAAACATGCTGTGCTCTGCTCTTTGCATTAGTGGTTATTAATGCTGTGACCCATGCTTATGCTCGAGTTGGAACCACTTCTTGCCCTGAAAAAAATTCCAATATAGAGAGAACACACACAACACACACACCTTAAACTAAAAATACTGTGGGCGAATCACTATATGCTCTATAATTGTAATACAAAAATTAGGAACCATCACACAAACTGGGACACCACCCCTATATATGCAATATATATAAAAAAAAGGGGGGGGAAAGAGAAAGGGGCTTTTTGGTGACCACTGGAGAATAGCAGGGAGGTTCTGAGAGAAGGAATTGCCCCTGACAGTCCGAGGAGCTTCACCAGTACAAGGTACGATTGGGACGGATGCTTGGCTTCCTTGCTTTCGGACTGGCTCCCCCCGGCGCTCCCGTCTCCTGGTTGGGTGGGGAGACTCCCTGCAGATGGATATTCAATTACCGGAAAAAGAATAATTAAGTTAACCTCTCCAAATCTTCCTGACGAAGCCTCGGCGAAACGCGTTGAAGACTGGAGCAAGCACAGAATCATGGCTGAACTAATGATATATAGAACAATTATGTACAATTAATCATGCAAATAAGATATGAATACAATGAGGGCAATGACCAATATATGAATATTTATGGTTTTTTATATGGATGAATTTTAGCAGATTTATATGTATAGACATTATGAATTGAGTACATTAAAAATTGAATTTTATTATATATATGAATCAATTGACTTTATTATTGGATCAATTCCCTGCTATTCTCCAGTGGTCACCACAAAGCCCCTTTCTTTCTCTTTCTCCCTTTTTTTGATATATATGCTCTATAAAATGGAACTCTCCAGAAATGTTTAATGCCAGTATACCTGCATGTGTCCCTGCCCTCTCTTTTTTGTGCTATACCAGCGGAAGATGCGTAGCAATACACCTTGTGAGAGATGATAGGACCTTCTTGCTTGCCACCTTTTGTATGCAGTTCTTTTTGTTATTACAGCTAACCGATCAGTACTGATGAATGAGGACAAACCAGAACATCAAGGATTGTAGCCTGTTATGTGATGCAAAGTAATCCAGTAAAAGAAGTTTGTGGGAAGGTGTCAATAAGTCTAAACTACTCCACAAACTGCAAATACTTATCCAAAAATATCCAGAAGACGTAGCCCCACATAAATTCTCTTTTGGTTTGCAGAGTGCGTTTTGCACTGCACAACGATTGAAAGTTAGAGTGCACAGTGCACAACTGCAAAGGGGTAAGATTTTTTTTTTTTTTCCATATATTATCTACAAATATTTTTTTGCTAAATCTGCAATTTACAAGATCACACTAATTCAGTGAGCTGTAAATCAAAAAATCATTTCAGATACACAGAGATTAGAACATTTTTTAAGATTCCTCCAAAGTACAATACACAGGTTGAGAAAGGCTGCTGTACATGCTTACTTTCAGACAAGCAATAGTTCATTTAAACAAGGCATTCAAAGGCCTTAGATCAGGGGTGGCAAACTCAAATTCATCGGGGGCCGCATCAGCAGTATGGTTACCCTCAAAGGGCCGGTTTCTTGGACATTTTGGGGTTGATTGTAGTTTATGGTCCCTTTACCTCTGTAAAGTGATATCGAAGGTGCATTTTGCCACCCCCCCGGCGCGCGCACACACACTATACACTTATGCAGAATACCAGCAGTAACAGAGGGCTACAAATCCCAGCAATAATACATTATATAAAACGCAATGCAGAATACCAGCAGTTACAGAGGACTACAAATCCCAGCAATAATAAATTATACAGGCTGCTTAATATATTATTGCAGGGATTTGGTGTTCATCTATAGCTGCTGGTGTTCTGCAGTGTGCCGCTTTTTTTTTTTTAAACAGGAAACTTTAAAACAGGTCCCCCTTACCTGTTTCTGAACCCTTGGAAGTCGCGGCGGCAGCTCTGCGGGCGTGTGTCCGGCCTGTGTGGTGAGCGCGGCGTAGGCAGCGTAACTCGTGTATGGGGCTGCGAACAGGCGGGCGTGAGAGGCGAGCGGGAAATTAAAATTTTTGCCGACAAATCGACCAGGAAAACATTGACAACGTTTTCCATTGGTCGATTTTAAAGCGACTAATTATTGCAGCTCTATATTATTCCTGGGAGTTGTAGTCCTCTATAGCTGGTGGTATTCTCCATTGCGCTGTATAATGATTATACTGCGCAATGCAGATTACCACTGACCAGTTATAGAGGAACTACAAATCCCAGCAATAATACATTATTATTACATTATGCTGGTATTACATTATGCTGGTATTCTCCATTGTGCCGCTGTATTATACAATACACAATGCACAAGATATTAAACAATGCACAATACAATACTGTATTGTATTGTGCATTGTATATTGTATATATTGTATATATACACAATGCACAATACAATACAAAATACAATACAATGCAGCATACCACGTGCACTTTGTCTTTGTAACATTACATACCGCTCCCACTTCAGCCAGCTCCCGATCCCGATTCCCGATACGAGTCCGACCGTGGGTCACCAAGAGAGGGTGAAATCGCCTCCTCGCTCGGTTCCAACTTCAAAATTTGTGCACCGGGCGCTCCCGAGTCCCTCAACAGGTTGCCGTCGCCTCCAGGATGACGCCACTGCCGCCACACTGCCTGCTGGTCCGGTCCGTCCGTTGCTCCGCCTCCTGCAGCCCTCGCTCCAGTCCTTCACATGTGGCTGAGCGGCCAGGGGAACCAGGGGCGGGGCCTTACGTCACTCACTGACGTAGCCAAGGAAGGACGAGACACTCAGTGAGACTGAGTGTCACTGAGTCTGAGACGTGAGACTGCACTGCACAGGTCAGCGCCGCATCCTTCAGATTCCGCCCGCCGCGGCAGCCCTCACACTGAGAGTCTGGTCTCGATCGGGCAACTTTTCCGCCCTGTTCCCTGGCGCCGTAAGGCAAGTGCCCATCTTGCCTTGCGCTAGCGCCGGCCCTGTGTGCGGGCCACATTACAAGATTCGGCCCGCGGGCCTTGTGTTTGCCACCCCTGCCTTAGATGATAACTTAAATTCAAATTAGTAGACTTAATGTGTGATTATAGTCCTTTGCAGGAGTGAGCTTAGAGCGGTGGGGAACAAAAGTAGCCACCCTCCAGAAGGAAAGACAGTGTCAGCATGAATTCAGAGATGATTTGGGAATCTAGAGCCGAATGGTGCACAAATAAGCAACATTTTTGTCAATAGAGCACTTAAATGCAATTTTAAAGATTTAAATCCCGAGTTTAGTGTCACTTTAATATCATGGAACTTCTAAAATCCCCAAAAGAATTTTAACTGTAAAAATGCTGAAATCAAGGAAAAGGGAGGAGCTTACTGTTTCACGTGGTAAAAGGTAAATGGTTCGGTCAATGTTTTTCACACTAACACAGCAACTGACATAAGCTTCCGCTGACTCAATCCAAACTTTTCCAAACAAATACACAACACCTATGGTATGGCAAAAAGAAAACAAAACAAAACATGGTTACTTTAAGACTAATACTTTGAAGAAACAAAATAACCCACCCTGCAACAGTATACTAAAAGCTAGTAGCTATAAATAAACATGTCCATTAACTACTTAGTGCTCGGAGAAGTACACTGTACGTGAGCAGCTATTCAGGGCTTCCGAATGCCGCTAACTACTGAGATTAGCGGTTACCGTTCATTAATGGATGCCTCAGTATTAAGGCATGTTTTAATTAGGGTCGGATCCTCACCACAAAGTCTGCATTCCAGAGCATTCGGCCTCTGGAACGCAAGCCGGGTCGCTCCCTGCATTTAGGGGTGGGTGCATTTTGCGGTGCCATTTAAAATCATTGGCACCGCAGCCACACACCCCCCCAATCGCCATGCCCCCTCCTTTCCCTAAGCGCAGCGGGGGAAATTTCTAATAATCAAAACTGGGGGGGGTTTTGTTATACCTTTTTTCCATATTTTATTAGGTCCAAACCCTTTCAGATACTACGCGGCACACGCCAAGGATGCCCACTCTCCCCACTCCTCTTCGCCCTGGCCATCGTACCCCTAGCACACCTCATTAGAACTTCCCCTGACCTTACAGGCCTACCTACAGCGGGCCACCACTACAAATTAAGCATGTTTGCCGACGATGTCCTCCTTATAATATCTAACCCACTTGTTACTCTGCCCAATGTCCAAGCCCTCCACGCATCCTTTGGCTCCCTATCGGGCTTACAGGTTAATCCTCTAAAATCAAAAGCCCTTAATATTAATCTCCCTCCAAACCTCCTACTGACGCTCCAATATCAGTGGGAAAGAACGAAACTTAAAAAGGAGAACTATGGGGTCAGTGTTTTTCCCCATAGTTCTCCTCAGGGTAACGGGAGGACACAAACTAGCGTCCTCCCGTTACCCTAAGATCAGTATACCGCGAGCTACAGCTCGCGGTATACTGAGACACCGCACCTGGAGCGGATCCTGACTCCCGACTCGGAAGAAGGGATCCGCCCAGCTGCGTGAGTGACAGCTGGCTCTGCCTATCTAAAGGCAGAGCCAGCTGTACCCGCCCCCTCCCCGTCCATTCCGCCAGTCAGCGCTGGCAGATCGGTGCGGGGAGAGGGGAATCCAGCCCCTCCCCCTGTCACAGCAGAGAGCCGTGACAGGATCGAGAGGCGAACCTGGTATGTGTTCGCTCACCTCCCGATCTACTGAGCCGACCTGTGACAGTCTCATTGTCACAGGTCGGCTAGAACTATGAGGTGAGTGAAAAGCACTCACCTCATAGTTCTCCTTTAAATACCTTGGAGTCTTCCTCACTAATGATTATCACACCCTATTCGACGCTAACTACCCACCCCTTCGCCGTAAACTTAAAACTTTGCTCTCTATCTTGTCCACCTACTCCCTCTCCTGGCTAGGCCGGGTAACGGCCGCCAAAATGTCTTACCTCTCGAAACTGCTGCATCTCTTCCGAGTACTCCCAGTAGCGGTACCCTCGCATTATATGAACGTCTTTCATGTACAAACTCCTCAGGTACATTTGGCAAGGTCGCAGAACCCGGGTCTCCAAAACAATTCTGTACCAACCCCGTAGGGCGGGAGGCTTAGGGGTCCCCAATTTAGCCAAATACCATCAGGCTGCTCAAATATCACAACTCACTAAATTGCATGGGCTCACTGAAACTCCTTTGTGGGTAGCGATGGATAGCAGCCCCCCTCCAAATACAGAAACTTCTCTGGTTAACCCCTGCTTGATAGGAAGTCGTTGACTAATCCCATCACTCTGCATTCCCTCAGGGTATGGGATGGGGGGTCAAGTACTCTGGAGGCCTGATGTCGTCCCATATGCCCCTCCTCTCTTTTCTACATAACCCCTCATCACCACAAGCTCATCACCCCCACGGGCTTTAAAACATTCCCCCAATTACGCACTACATACCGCCTACCGGCAAGCGAAACCTTTAGATATTTAGAAATAAAACATTTTGTTACAACCACAGTTCGCTTCCCGGTGGGCTGTCCCTTGTTGACACAATTTGAGAGGAGCTGCAGAGATGATCCTCACTCGCCCGGCCTGGTCTCCCTAATATATGCAAACCTCCTTTCCATAGGCGCTCCCCCGACCCACAAATATATGAACAGTTGGGCTACTGATCTGGGGTTGGCGGTGGACGAAATACCGTGGCAACAGATATGGGCTACCACGTCTTCCTGCTCCCGCAATGCGACAGCAGTGGAGACCAATTACAAGGTCTTGTACAGGTGGTACATGGTGCCCAGTCGTCTGGCCCCTGTCACACTGGGCAGCTCGCCAAGCTGCTTCCTTGGCTGCTCAGCAAGGGGCACTACCTCCATATGTGGTGGAACTGCCTGATCGCCCAAAGGCTCTGGTCTCAAGTGAACACGATGCCTAGCACCCTCACCAAGAGAAACATACACCTGACCCCAAGTGAAGCTCTGTTGAATGTTAGGCCACCCGATATATCCAAATAGGAATTCCAACTCCTCACCCATGTGCTCACAGCAGCGAAACAGGTTATAGGCAGCGCTTGGCTCTCAAACACCCTGAGTATCTCAGCTGTTAAAAACAGAATCCACTGGACTATGATTAACGAGAAGCTGACTGCCAAAATTACTCGACAACCTCTCCAAATTCAATAAAGTATGGGAACCATGGGTTGACAATTTCTTTCCACCAAACTTTGATAGAACTCTGCTGGAAATGTGACTTGAAACCCAACTTCTCGATAATGCATGGCCCACGCCACATAACCCTCCCAGGTGTCACTATTCCCCACTTCCCCCACCCCCATTTTTGCCTTCTATTTCTTCTTCCCCCTCCTATCCTTTTTATGACTGTCCCCCTCCACTCAGACTGTACAACAGTCCTCCCGAACATAACCCTCCGCTCCTTTCTTTTTTGTAAAGCCTCCCCAAAACCTTGGCTGACGCCAGTCTGTTTCGCTGGACTGGCTCATATATCCACCAGGTGGTGGCCTACGACGATTGATCGCAAATAACAAATGCACACTGCAATGGATATAACGACTTATGAGATTTTATTAATCATTACTTGCTAAGATCATTAATTGTATGTGCCCCTCAGTCCACCATCTGAAATGGATACATCGGTTTTGCTTTATTAACTTTATATGCCAATAAAAATGTATTGAACAAAAAAAAGAAAATCTATATATAACATGTGTGGGTGTACTTAGTAAGAAAGTATATTACTGCCGTGGAAGAATCGCACAGCAAAAATGTAAAAAGTGTTTGTCATTAACGAACAGAAACTGAAAAAAAAGCTCAGTCATGAAGTGGTTAAGAGATCGAGACTAAAAAATCCCCCACCCCTTATACCTAGTATGGTTAAAGCAGCCCAAGTACAAATCTGAATTGCCCACATGTTCCCAAGAAGGAACAACAAGAGGGCAAAAGATACAAAAACTACCATTTTTATTGGCCACAAGTGGATTTACCATAGCAAAATAAAGATTAAAAAGTTCATCTCGTGCCAGCAGCTTAGAAGATGGGAAAAACTCGATAGTTTAGGAACCAAAAAAAAGCCTGGGCCAGAACTCCAATCAAACTGAATAAATCCAACTAGGGTGGAATATTTATAAAGCTGAATATTGTAAGGTTTTACTGAACACCAAGGGCCTGATGTATAACACATGGGATAAAGTTAGCAATTGTATTGCCTATACTTAATAGTTTCCTATTGGAAACTTGGACACGTGCCTACAGTTCTATACCATTGCCTGCATTACTGATTAGTGTCAGTAAAAACATCAGTTATCCACTGCTGCCCTCTTCAGCTCTACGTCTTCATGCAAACAGCAGGTCATTTGACTAAAATAAAATTCAATCCATACACCCTAGGTCTGTCATCATCAGTAGCCTCTGGAGTCTGTACTCTAAGGTGCTATTGCCTAGGGACTGCCTTCATGGCATTCAAAGATGATAATTCTCACCTCGCTGGTTGTACTGATCTTCATAAGCATCCAGCCAATAAAATCTAAAGACTTGATCCCCATCTTCACCAGTTACTAAAGGAAGAAGGCTGGAGTCTACCTGGACTTCATTTGTCACAGGTTCAGTCTCATTTGCCATTTGGTCCCAGCAAGACTCGGAGACTGTAGCATTTCTGAAAAAGCAACAAATGTATTTGATATGGGTTGTTATCTTAGACAGGTTAAACTACAGCTTCATTGTGTAAACACATTTTCCTTTTTCAGAGTATGGACGAAAAGTAAATGCTTTACTCAAAATATGCACCATGCGCTACTTTTTGAAAATCAGTAAAAAAAATAAAATAAAACGCAAACAAAGCTGGTTACAAATGTATCAATGGAACTGGTAGGGGTGCAAAAGTGGAAAACACATTTTAGATAGTGTTTTCCTACCCTCCTGGTTGCTTAAAAGATTAAATAGTCGTAAAACGGAATTTATTAGTTGACATACATGTTAACCGTGAGAAAATGGAAAGGAAATTTATGACACCACCTCCATGTGAAATGTCATGTCTCTACTGGAACTTTTGTAAAACATTTTATTCATAAAAAAAAGTAAAACCATTTGTAAACCATCTGCACTTCTCATGCAGGTAATGCAAGGTGAATCATATATAAATCTGTCCAGCCATACACCTGGTGCTTGCGTGTGTTTAGGTTAGTAAATCACCCCCATGGTGTCTGTGTAGGTTTTCAACCTGAGCAAACACTACAGGAGGCACTCAGCTGAAAAGGGAAGTTCTCCCCCAGCATGAGAAGACATGAGGATTTAAAAGGAAGAGCAGCAAAGAGAAGGGAAACAACCATGGATTACAGTAAGGCACACATTACAGTATTGGTTTATGTTAAAAAATCTGAGGGTTTAATGCCACTTTAACAGAAGAGAAATCCAAATAAAAATCAATATTTGGTGTGACCACCCTTTGCCCTCAAAACAGCATCAATTCTTCTAGGTACAGTCGCACACAGCTTTTGAACTAACTCAGGTAGGTAGGTTGGATGTTGGCTGACTCAAATACTTCTGTCTCTTCATATAATCCC